GAAATTTTAAAAAAGATTTTATTTATTTATTTATTTATTTATTTATTTATTTACGAGAGAGAAACCTAAGCAGGCTCCAAGCCCAGCGTGGAGCCAGATGCAGGACTCAATCTCACCACCCTGAGATCATGACCTGAAAGCCAAAATGAGCCAAAATGACACTTAACTGACTGAGCCACCCAGGAGCTCCTGAAGTGTACACTTTAAAAAGGGTGAATTTTGTGGGATGCAAATTATATCTTGATTGGAAAAAAAAAAGACTATGGTCAATCCTCCATAGGTAGGTGTTTAGACGTTAGATTTTCTTGGGGCATTGAGAATTTTTCTCATGTCCAGTTTCTATATTATATGACCCATAAGAGGTGGGTTTCCTCCCTTGGCTTAGCACCATAATAGCCCAGTAAGCTGGCCCCACCTAGAGAGGGAAAGCTTGGCCTATCTCGGGTGGTTAGATGGTAGCTCACTGCAACTGGGGCCCACTCCTGTCCCTTTCTAGACAGTGTTCAAGACCCCAGCACCAGCCAAGGCTCACACTCGGGTGGTTGTGGCCTCCCGCTGCCCACCACCCACTTACCTGCTCATTCTTATGCTGGGTCATGTGGGACTTGAGCTGGAAGTAGGTGCTGAACTTGCTGGGGCAGAACTGGCACAGATAGGAGCTGTCAATGAAGACGACCTGCTTGGCCTCCAGCTTGTCCCCTTCATCCTCACCTGCGGCAGGCAAGGCCTGGGGTTGTGGGGCACTTGACAGGGACTGACCCAACCCTGTGGAGAAAACCAGGGAAGAAGTCACTGAGAAGGGCAGAAGAAGAGTCAGGACAGAGGGCCATGACATTCAGGAAGGACCCACAGAGCACCTCCTGTGTGTTGCTGGGTCTACCCAGCCACCTACCACGTGCTTGGTGTTGGACACTGTACTCAAGGCCCTGCACTCACATTCTGCTTTGCGCACGGATATAGCCATTCCAGATGCTCACCTCCTGAATACTTACATCCTGACTGGTAAACAGTTATTGCCTCAAATCTCCCCTCACTGGCCTTTCCCTAGGCCTCTCCACGGTTGTTAAAAATCCTGAACACTACTCCTGGCTGTATTCATCACACCTCCCCAGCTCCCCATTCCAGTTACAACATCTGTTTAGCTGCCCTTCTCTCACTTTCTGAGGACAGGGGCCTCTGACCTCATCTCTACAGAGGCCTCCATAAATATCTGCTATATGGTTGAACCCCTGGTGCTAGGCACTGTAGGAATTTTGAAAAAAAATAAGAAACAGATTCTTCCCCAAGGAGCCCAAAAAAATGCACAGGGCACACAGAGACTGACTAAACACACTGTAGGGCTAGTTCCAGTAGGAGGGTCAAATAAAAGTGGCCACAGGCTGCTCATGCAGCAAAACACCCCCTTCGTTCACTGGTATGTGGCAGGCTTTGCTCACCCGGGGGACTATACAGGAAGGGCCTAACTCTGGCCCTACACTGTCCAATACAGTGGCCACGAGCCACATGTGGTGACTGAGAACTAGAAATGTGGCTAGTCCATATCCAGATACGCTATACACATAAATACACCCTGGATTTTGAAAACTTAGCATAAAAAAATATAAAATATTTCATTAATAATTTCCTTATATACTAAGATGATATTAGGTTAAGTAAAACATACGATTAAAATTAATTTCACTTTTTTTAAGTATTGTTTTTATGTAGCTACTAGAAGGTTTTAAATTGTATATGTTGGTCATATTACATTTTTGTTAACAGCACTGCTCCAGGCCTAGTGACTCCTCAACCCCCATACAGAACAGGAATTAAACCAATATCAGGGACATGATCACTAGCTCAGGGACAAGCGATGGCTCGGATGGGAATTCTACAAAGTGTAAAAGGCTTTGGAAACTTAAGCCCATGGAAGTCAAGTAGGTTTCAATTTCAAGTTAACTGACAGTGACTGCCTGGAGCAATATATCGAAAGTAGATTCTGAGGCAGGATCCAGGCACAGCAAAAGACAGGTGATTGATTAGTGTTGTCTTCCATGGGTACAGTATTAGAGTAAGGCCAGGCATACTGTACATTTGTCATCCCTCCTTTCATGCTATGCCCCATTTTATAGATAAAGTAGACTGAAGCCCAGAGAGGTAAAGGAGGCTGCCCAAAGTCACACAGCTAGGAATAAAACCCATGAAGCTTCAGAGGACAGGTATGGGAACAATGGCATTCCCCACTTCTACCTACCTGTGTTTTCCTCGTCCTCCTGCCTGCTGGGGTTGAGGGCCATGACCTGTACAGTCACAGAGTTGCGAGAGACAGTGCCGCCGCTACGCCCCGGAGGCCACACCTTATGCGTCTGCATGTGTTTCTTGACATTAGATTTCTGGGCAAAGGCACGGCCACATGCAATGCACTGGAAGGGCTTCTCACCGGTGTGGCTATGGGAAACAAAGCTTGTCAGCACCCTCATGTGGAACTGGGACGTGACCTCAGCACAGGAGCTCACAACCCCCAAGAAGGCCCAGACAGAGCATGCGGATGCTGGTGGCCATCATGGTGACACCATGAGGACAAGCCGGCAGGCCAGAGGCAGAAAGACCCTGAGCTCTCGGTGACATTACTGAGTTGCTGAATCAACCAGCCCCGGAGCTGACCTTCCCTGCGGGCCTTCTCCATACGGTGAGAGAAAACATTTCCTAATTGTTTAAGCCCTCTCAAACAGGGATTTATTCTCTGAAGGAGAAATGGCACAGTCGCAGCACAGAACTTGTACCATTATTTAATATTTCCCTTCAAATCAATCCGCTCTTAAATAATTTAAAAATTAAGCTTTCCTGTTGTTATATGGAAAACCACTTATCATAAATACAAAGTAACCAAAAATGCAATAATTTATAAAATATCATTAAGATCTATAGAGCTGCATTATCCAATAGGGTTGACACAAGACACACGGGGCTACTTAAATTCATTAAAATTAAATTAAAAATTCAGTTTCCTGCCATTTGCAATGATGTGGATGGAACTAGAAGGTGTTATGCTAAGCGAAATAAGTCAGTCAGAGAAAGACATGTATCATATGATCTCACTGATATAAGGAATTTGAGAAACAAGGCAGAGGATCATAGGGGAAGAGAGGAAAAAATGAAACCAGACGAAACCAGACAGGGAGACTCTTAATCTCAGGAAACAAACTGAGGGTTGCTGGAGTGGTTGGGGGTGGGAGGGATGGGGTGGCTAGGTGATGGACACTGGGGGTATTTGTTGTGGTAAGTGCTGTGAATTGTGTAAGACTAATGAATCACAGACCTGTACCCCTGAAACAAATAATACATTATGTTAATAAAAAAAAAAATTCAGTTTCTTAGTCAGACTAGCCACATTGCAAGTGTTCAGCAGCCGCATATGGTCAGTGGCTACCCTACTGGACACTGCCAATTTGGGCATTTCCATCACTGCGGAAAGTTCTATTGAGCAGAGCTAGTGTAGACTTGTGAGGTATTTTTTTTTAATTTAACTTAAAAAATTTTTTAATTTAAATTCAATTAATTAACATATAATGTATTATTGGTTTCAGAGGTACAAGCCTGTTCAGGTCTTGATCTCAGGGTCCTGAGTTCAAGCCCCACACCAGGCTCCACCCTGGGTGTGGAGCCTACTTTACATACAGACAGGCAGACAGACAGACAGACAGACATAAATAAATAAGAAAATAAAAGTCAATAGTGCCAAGGTTGAGAAACCCTGGTCTAGTGAGAAGCTGTTGCCTGTCACGATTGGAATCTGAGGTGTGCACGTACGCATGCATCCACGTGCTCTCTCCTTCTCTCTCTCTTTGCTATAAAAGATGAGCAAGTATGTGAAAGGTGTTCAACACACACTAGCACCAAACCGAGGTTTTCTCCTTTGACTCGCCGAGGACTGAAAGAATTTGAAAAGAGAGTAATTTTCTACATCTTTCAGAACTTCTCGACACCATAACCACAAACCACCTAAGATCATCTCAGGTACCAATGTATCCCTTTCTGTGATAAACACGGAACAAGACCCCCCACCCCCACTTCACAGATGGAAAAGCCGAGGCCCCGAGGGGCTCCCTGCATGTCCTTGGGACAGGACAGGACAGGACGGTTAGTCCTGAGTGAGCAGAACTCGTAGTCATATTCCCACAGCGTGGTATGGCAGCCCTCGAGGTCAGACCTTTCTGCAGAGGTGAGGACTGAGGCACCCCTCACTCCTGCAAAGGCCCTACAGTTCGAGTACACTTCTTCCCCGACCCCGCCTGGCTCGGACCTTCTCCACCATAGTGAGCAGGCCCCACAACTTTCACAGATCCCTCCTCCTGCTCCTGAGACAGAAGAGGGAAAACCGACCTGACTTGGACCGAAGGTCTGAGAACCATGACAGGATGGATGGGGCCTTGGTCACCACCCTGGCAAGGGGACTGAGAAGGGAGCCTTGCTTCTACTGTGGAAGGCCCTCCAGCCAGGGCTGCCGAGGAAGCACCGGCCCCACCATGCCTGGGTACCTTCGGATGTGCTGCTGCAGGTCGAAGTTTTTGGTGAATGACTTGTCACAGTATGAGCACTTGAGTTTCTGAGCCTTTGGCTTCCCTGCAGCTGAAAAACAAGGTGGGGCGCGGGGTTGGGAATGGTGAGGCTGGGGGTGTAACTGAAGGCAACAAGAACAGCCTCCTACCACTCTACCCGTTGGATGTGGGGCCAGAAAGCCAGGGGAGGTCTACACCTGCACACAGGCAGGGGAAGCAGCACAGAGCCTCTCACAGCGCCTGGAGGAGGAAAACCCGGGCAATGCTCTGCCTGGAAGAGCAGAACCACCTCTGAAAGGCTCCGCTCTGCCCTCGGATAAAAATCCAACCTCTCTGCTGCGGCCTACAGGGCTATGCATCCTCTGCTTCCTGCCAACCTCATCATTCTCTCCATCCAGCTGCAGTGGACTCCTTGCTAACCTTGAAAGACCTCAAGTGTGGTCCTATTTCAGGACCTGCTATTCTTGCTCGTCCCTCAGATAGCCACAAAGCTGCCTCCTTCTCATCCCTAGATAGAGAGGTAGCATCATTTTCCAGTCTCTCCCCAGTATTCTCAATCATAGTACCCTGTTAACCTCCTTCCTGGAGCAACCCATAAACAGTTAGCCTGTTTTCCCTGTCTGTCTCTCCCATTAACTGCAACAGAGGGTGGAGAAATCACGGACCACGATGCTGGATCCTCAGCACCTGACACTGAGCCTGGCACACAGATACTCAACATATATCTGTGGAAGGAAGGAGGGATGGAAGTAGTTGACTGGAAAGCCCCTGAAAAATTCTTGATTTCTGTGCCTTCCTCCTCCACCACCACTTTCTAACACTGCCCTGTCCCATCGCTAGCATCTCTGAAGGGGTGACAGACACCACTGCCCGCCTGCCTGATATCCACTGCCCCCCTTCTTTCCTCACAAATCCCCCAAATAATGGGAACATCAATGTTTCTGGCTAAAAGAGACATTTCCCAGGGGCACCTGGGTGGCTCAGTTGGTTAAGCGACTGCCTTCGGCTCACGTCATGATCCTGGAGTCCCAGGATCAAGTCCCGGGATCTAGTCCCGCATCGGGCTCCCTGCTAAGCAGGGAGTCTGCTTCTCCCTCTGACCCTCCCCCCCTCTCATGTGCTCTCTCTCTCTCAAATAAATAAAATCTTTTAAAAAATAAAAGAGACATTTCCCAGCTTCCTTTGCAGCTAGATAGGGTCATGTGACTAAATTGTGATCAATGAGATGGAAGTAAAAGCATCATGCAGAACTTCTGGAAGCTGGGAGATGCCCCTTTTATCCTTTTTACTGCCTGGAATATGAAATTGATGACTGGAACTCCAGCAGCCATCTTAGATGATGAGGCACCCTGATAACAGAAGCTATGCCCTAGGGGTAGCAGAGCAGAAAGACAGAAGAAATGACCATACAAGCACACAATTTCCAAATTGCCTGCCACTGGCCTTGTTTTGCACAGGAGAAAAATAAAATTCGATCATTTTAAAGTCACTCCACTACATGCAACTACACTTAATCCTGACCATCATAAAAAGGAAGACCAGAACTAGGCAGCCTTATGGACAGGAGAATGCTGAGGAAAGATGCCCCTGGCAGGCGGCGGGCCCACCTTCTGGGAGTCCACTGGCCCCTTTTGCCCGGCAGGTCTTCAGCGTTGGTGGGGAGTCAAAGGTGGCCACTGTGCCCCCCGTGGCGCTGGTCATGGGGGCAGCTGGGTTTGGTCCTTTCGGTTTGAATCCCTGTTTGCCAGGGCTGTACACCGGAGGGGTGGGGTATACTGGAGCCTCCACACACTGGTTTGGCACCTAGAAGGACAGCACAGTGAGGGAGAGAGGCCTGGGAAGGACAGAAAAGAGCTATACCAGCCAGGGGGACCCTCACTGTGGCCCCGGCTAATCTCAGCCAGGATCGCGATCCTAACCCCTCCATCTGGCTCAGACACCCCAGTCACTCCCAAGACCCTATAGAACTTCATGGAGCCAGCAGGCTAGAAGCAGCTTTGAAGCCAGCAGTCTGGGTTCAAATCCTGACTCTGCCACTTATTATCTAAGTGATCCTAGGCAACTCTTTCAACATCTCCCAGTTTCACATCTGTAAAATGGGGATAATCAGAGTACTCCTCTCCTTGGGTTGTGGTGAGGATTAAATGACTCTCTGGGGCGCCTGGGTGGCTCAGTTGGTTAAGCGACTGCCTTTGGCTCAGGTCATGATCCTGGAGTCCCTGGATCGAGTCCCTCATCGGGCTTCCTGCTCGGCAGGGAGTCTGCTTCGTCCTCTGACCATATCCCCTCTCAGGTGTTCTCTCTCTCTCGTTCTCTCTCTCTCAAATAAATAAATAAAATCTTTAAAAAAAAAAAATGACTCTCTCTGTCAAATAAATAAATAAAATCTTTACCAAAAAATGAGTTAACATGTAAACAGCTAGAATGGTGCCTGGCATACAGTAAATACTCAATAAACATTAGCTGCTGTTACTGCTTTATTGGGAGTAGTAGTTTGTTAGCACAGAAGAACCAGGAAATCAGAAGGGTCTGTGCCCTCACCAGCAACCCCACTTCCTAACTGGCCCTGCCTGATGCCACACCAGCATGCATGTCTAAACTGAGAACTAACACTGAAGTCACAAGAAATTCATTCACACCAAACGACTTCTGAGCCACTCAAACCTAGCTAACACTAAGCTTACATCATGACACTGGGACATCGTGAAGAATTCATTAATTCAATGATATACTCGTCATTCATTGGTTTTTCCAGGCTGGCCTATCCAAAACTTCACTTCCTATCCTTCTCTGCTTTTTTTTTTTCTTTGTGGACTTACCATTATCTAATAAATTATGTGTTTTATGTACTTATCTATTATCTGCCTAGTTCCATGAAGGCAGCAACTTTTGGTCTGTTTTTGTTTACTGCTCTATCCCCAAGCCTGGAGTAATCCTAGGCACAGAGTGGGCATTCAGTAAATATTTGTTGAACCAGTGAATTTATTTATATATTATAATATAATGATACATAAAAAATATATACTTGTTCATTCAGATGACCAAAATATATCTGTCAGATATATTTGGTCTTCATCCACAGTTCCTAGAAATGCTTCAGAGCTGTAAAAGTGAAATGGGTATCTTATTATTTTTTTTGTTTTATTATTAATGAAAGTGACTTTTGGCCCTGATCCAAGGGCAGGCTGGTTGCAGAGAGGACCAACCATGTGACTGGTGGGTTGGAACATTCAGTCCCATCCCCCAACCTCTGGGGAGCGAGGAAGGGCTGGAGGCTGAATCAGCCACAGCCAACGACTTACTCATGATTATGTAATAAAGCCTCCATAAAAACTCCAAAGGACTGGGTTTGGACAGCTTCCAGGTTGATTAACACAGGGAGATATGGGGTGAGTGGCACACAGAAGCTCCATGCCCTTTTCCCCACTCCTCACCCTATGTATCTCTGCACTGGGCTGTTGATTTGTATCCTTTATTATATCCTTTAATAAACTGGTAAATGTAAATGTTCCCCTGAGTTCTATGAGCTACTCTAGCAAATTAATAGAACCTAAGGAGGAGGTCGCTGGAACCTCCTACCTGTGGTCTGTCCATCAGAAGCATAGGTTGCTTGCAACTGGCTAAAGTAGGGGTGAGGACAATCTTGCAGGACTGAACCCTTAACCTGTGGGATCTGCTGTTATCTCTGGGTAGATAGCATCAGAATTGAGTTGGAATTCTTGGACACTGTGCTGGTGTCTGAGAATTGCTTGGCATTGGCGTGGGGGGGGCGGGACCCCACCCAACATTAGAATTGGGTCCAGGAACCAGAAGAGTTGCTATCAGTGGATGCATGTATTGGGCATCTAATATGGCACCACGTGAAATGGTAGATGCTTCTGCTAGATCTCGCCTGTTGGCCTTTGGCGCCATTCCTACACCCTTCCATGCTCTCTCCTGATATACACATTCTCAGACTCCCTTGCCAGCAAGGTTCTGAGCACAAATTAGGTTCTGCTCACGAGAAGCACCTGCATGAGATCTGGAAGGCAGAGGAAGGTAGAAACTGCTTTCCTCTGGGAGAGGTGACGGGAGACAGGAAGGTGTGCAGTCCTAAATTTTGGAGTGGCTGGCTGAACTCTACATCCCCCTCCTGACCACCAGCCTCGAGGATGACAGCACAGCAACAGAATCCTACAGCTTCCCCACCTCTGGGCACAGCAGGAGCGTCCTAGCCCTCTGGGCCAAGCAACAACAGTGAACCTGAAAACCACTGGCACCTGCCAACTCTGCCTTTTGCTCCATCTAGCTCTCCTGAAGCCACCTTTGTAAGCACCTGACCTCCTGCATTAAATCCCTTTGCCAGACATACCTAGAGTGGTCCCTATTTTCCTGACCAATACAGCACTCAATAAATATGTATCACATGGATGAATTCACCCATCATGCAAGACATTCCTGAGTAATTACGTGACTGCCACTGGGTTTGCTCTCTTTATCCTCAACGGCGTTACAAGGGAAGTTCCCATTGCAGAGGAGAGGAGACTGAGGTCAGAGAGCCCTATTTCAGACACCTACTACAGGTGTGCCACAGGCCAGGGACTCTGCTAGGGGCTAAGGATGCCAAATCAAAGAAGACTCAGGCTCTGCCCTCAAAGAGCACCCTCGTCCACATGGAAAATAAACAACAGCAGCTCCCTCTGCTCTGGCCCCCTCTGCCTACCAGGCCACAATCATCCTCTCAGCATCTCACTGACTTATTTGCTTTTTTTTAACTCAACACAGGGAAGCTTGCTCTATTCCCTCGGGCTAGAATAAATCCCCTGCAGGCTCTCATAACATCACATGGCTGGTGGTAGATTTCCCCACTGGTCTGGTTCTCTTTAGAGAGAACCATGCTCTCTAAACACAGAACGTCTGTATGGCCAGATTGTAAGGTGAGGGGGGGTTAATGTGACCTCAAGTGCAGGCAGGCTCTTGCTGTCAGAACCGTGCCCCCTAGCACTGGGGTTGGGGCAGGTTCTGAACTCTGAGCACCTTGAGCTTGTAGCAGGGAATGAGTGTGGCACATAGGGTACACGGACTGCTTCGTGGCTTCAATTCTCTACCCCCCCCCCCAGTACCTGTGCCCATTCGCAGCGTGGTTCTGCAGATTTCCCCATCAAGATGTGGCATCGGTTTCCCTACTCCTTAAATCTAAGCTGGCCTTGGGACATACTTTGACCAACGGAAGAGAGCCGGTCACAAGCCTAAGCTCCACGAGGCCAGGAGCATTTCTGCTTGCGTGACTGCACCTCTAGCACTGCTGTGAGCACACGGCTGGCGAGCCCGCCAGACGATGAGAGATGGCCGGAGCAGAGCTGGGTCACCCAACTCGTCCCACCCAGGCCATCCTACAGCAGCTGATAGCTGCCATCTCCAGACACCTGGGAGAGCCCAGCCAAGATCAGCAGAGTTGCCAAGCAAGCCATGTAGGTGCAAGAACAATAAACACATTTTGCCATATACCACTGAGGTTCTGGGATATTTCTTACACAGCCATAGCTAACCCATACATCTAGCCTGTTAAAAATGTAAGAGACTGGGGCTCCTGGGTGGCTCAGTCGGTTGGGCATCCGACTGTTGATTTTGGTTTGGGTCATGATCTCAGGGTCGTGGGATCAAGCTTCAGAGCACAGAGTCTGCTTGAGATCCTCTCTCTCTCCCTCTGCCCCTCCACCCTGCTCTCTCCCCCTTTCTCTCTCTAAAAAAATAAGTAAAAAAATTTTTTAAAATATAAGAGACATTCACATAGATAATTTTTTGGAAACTTCTCCCTACAACATTGGTGTTCTCTGAATGTTCTGAGCACTCCCTGAGGGTAGCTTGTATTTCTGCTATAACTTCTACTTCATACCACCTTCTCATGGTTTGCATTTTACCTTTATAGGTATGATGGCTTGATTAAAGTCCTTCTCTCCCAGGGTGTGGCCTCCCCCCTGATCTGGTTTTGTCTCCCATGCTACCTCTGGCACAGTGTCTGACACACAGTTGGTGCTCGGGAAAGGTTCAGGTTACCCATGATAACCATAACCAGTTTCTCCCCCTCCATCCCAAACCCCAACCTCTGCTCACCTCCAGGGGTGGGTAGGGCTGCATTCCCAATGCCTGGATCTCCACCGTGCCGCTCCCAGCCAGGGGCGCCGTGGCACTGTACACCTCCACCACGCCATTTCCGCCAGGGTTGGGACG